AAAGGATTTTAATTTAAAAAAAGGAAAGTCGGAGTGCAACATTGAATAATATCGTTTGGATAGCTCTCTAAAAGGCCACTCTAAACAAATTTATATATATATTTTATCTTAACTGAAAGCACCTTGGCTTCTACTGTTGTCTGGGAGTGTTTTTTTGAAGATTTATGAAACATAAAAAATTACCTGGGGAATGTGCTCGACTTTCTTAGTATTAGTGAGGATGGGCGCTGTAGCATTCTGGATCAAGTGGATATGTCTGATCGACTTATTATCCAGACCTGTGAAGACACTTTTAGTAGTAATTTCTCAGAAAGATAAGAAAAAATAATTCTATTTTTTTGAGATCCTACTAAGAAATCCATCCTTTTGTTATGCTAATGTATTTCAGATGACAAAAGGATGACTTTATCACCGTTTTAAAGAGCCACGGGTCTTCAATTTTAAGTCTATCACTACTCACAGATTTAGGGGCTAATTGGTGGTTTCTAGCTGTATTAACTGAAGCTGTGTGCTGACTTTTAAACACACCTCCATTGGTCAAAAATATATTACTGTATTCAGCTGAAATCGGGTTATAGTCACCTGGTAACATAGTGATATAAAGCTGTGAGGCGTCAAAATTGATATGCTAATTTATGCTGTTTATTATTATCTAAGTTAGTAAGAGCATATTGAATTGGATGTGCCCAATAGACAGCTAGCAAACCCTGCATGTGAATTTTGTGGTCTGTGATGTCAAGTTACCTGCTGACACAAAAAAGTCCCTGTCTGTTAAGTATGAATTAAACAATTTGAGTGCTGTACTAGAAAGTAAGGCAGCCTTTGTGCTGTGGTGAGAACGTAGACCTGACTGTTATGCCAAAGCAGCCCCAACTGTTGAATCACAGCCTTTTTTTTTTCTTCATGATCTTATTGATGAAAGGTAGATTTGAGCAGGGCATGTAATTTTGCAGTAGCAGCTTGTCCAACTTTCCTTTTTTCCAACTGTGGTTTGATAATTAAAGACCTTCTGGAAAATACAACCAAGGAAACGTAGTCATATTTGCTAAATCAGACATTATAGAAGGCAAAGCTTTTTTTTAAGGAAAGCTGTGGGTATAACCTTGAAACTGCACAAGTTTAGTTGATGTATGATTTTAAATTTCAAGTATGCTATTGTGTATTCTTTGTAATTTATTATTTTTTGAATTTTGAGTTACAAAGTATAACATTTTTTGTTTTTACATAGATCACTGTTTATAGATACCTTTTTCAATAATACATACCGGTAATAGAAAAGTAAACCAAAATGTATTAATACTGATTTTTAAAATCAGGATATTCAATTATGCTTTCTTGGTTTAACTTCTAATCTGTATTTACAGACATTTTCATTTAAAGCCAAGAAATAATTTTCAAGAGATAAGTGTGTTTTTAAAGCAGAACAAAACAATAAGAAATAACAGTTTACTAACACTGTAACAACACAAATAGTCCAAGCATTGGATTCAATTTGGTAAGCTTTTATAATTGCCTTTAAAGCTGCAGGAGAAGGTTTCTGATGTTTTTCTTAAAATAAATGTTAGTTGTCTTAGAGAAATCAATGTGGATAGTTTCAGCAGTAGAGTACTCCATAACGGGGGAGGACATGAAAATGTTTGGTTTCTAACTCCTGGTTGTACATGGAACACTGAAAAAGAGAAATCTCTGAGAGCAAAATCTGTGCCAGGAATGTCTCAGTGACAGGTACGGGGATCAGTACAGCAGAAACATATCAAAGATACCTTTATAGATTAAAGTGTCCTACTGCTCAAGTCTAGAGATGAATAACAATGGCTTGGTCACAAAAGAATATAAAATAAAGTGGTGATAAAGAGATCTATACCCTGCTATAAACTGTAATGCCCCATGATAAACATTATCCAACATATGCAGAGGTGGCAGATTGATTCATATGAAATATCAAAGTACTCTAATGCATACAGAAAGGACAAGATGTTTTATTATACTGAAGTTAATTCTGATTCAGTTTAGAAGGCAAAAAAAATAGTTTTACTTAAACATCTTTAAAACATTTTCAATATGTGTCTTTAATGAAAGCTTATTGTCTATTTCTACGCCAAGGTACCTCTATGTGTCCTCATACTCTATTAGCGAACCTGTCATTGTTCCATTGAAAGGAAAAAACTTCTAAAACTATCGTCTGATAAACAAAAAGTATGACCTTCGTCTTAACAGCTTTTAGGAGTAGTCTTAGGTGAAGTAAGTAAAGAATAAAAAAAAGTCAAACCCAAGAACTGAAGCACAGCAATAACATGGCACTAAACTAAAGCGCTATCAGCCTAGACATATAGAAGCATCAGTGTTATTTTTGCTGACACCTTTTACATAGATTGAAAAACAGAGTTGGACCTAAAATGGAACCATCTGACCTTTGTAATGTTTAGGTAATCTGATGAGAGATTAGTGATCTGTCACTTTACTCACAGTGAGACATCACTGAGTTCATACAATATCTCCAACTAACTGGATATCCAACTTACAGCATTATCTGATAAACCAATATTTGACCACTTTTGACAAAGGATACTATGTCAGTGCTGTCAAACATCTTTCAGGTAATTCAAAATAGCAGTACAGTAGTTATTAGCACCCAAAGCTTCAATAATGTTGTTTCTGAGTCTTGTTGTAGCTGTAACTGTACTATTTCCTAAAACCAGACTAGTGGCATGAAAAAATCTTGGCCACAACTATTTGGTAAGCTGATCAGTAACCAGTTTTTCAAACATTTTTGCTAAAATGTAAAGTCTTAAAAAGCTATTTTGCACAATAAGATCTGTACCTTATGATAGGGGAAGAAAAAAAACATATTTGAGCTTATGTTAGTTAAGGAGAGACTAAAAATCTAAAAGATGGATTCAGCTATAATGCTGTGAAAAGTAGAACAAATATATGGAAAAAATTAGACATTCCTTGGCAAAAAAAAGGTAATTAAACAGACAAATATTCTTCCGGTTAAGATTAAATAAATTATGAAAATGCATGTTTAGCAAAAAAAACAAAAAACAAAAAAAAAACTTCATAATTCTTTTTGGATATGAACAGCATAACTTTCCATGGCTTGAAAGTTCTACTAACAATCCTGGGAAAACATTTGTCTTGCATTTCAAGGAGATTGGATTAGGGAGATTAGATGCTACATTAGCATTTTAAGTGTTTTAAGTCTCACCTCCATCTTTAAAAAACTAAATATACAAGAAACAAATATATAATTATTTGTAAAAAAAAAAAATGTTAATGTTATATTTTGATAAAGAATTGGTTTTCAGGTTTCAGAGTTTATATAAATATAAATTCAAAATCTATTTTTTTTCTCTGTTCGTACTCATAATAATCTTGAATTGATCACTACTAAAAGTCTGTCCTTAAGCTTAGAATTTTGTTCATCAGATTTATAGGTTTTTCACTAGAGGCAACTAGACTTTTTTGTGAAGCTGGAATAAAATGCATCTATAGGCCTGTATAAGATTTATGGCGTTAGTAGCGACACTGTGGTGCAAGATATCCTACGGAAATCCCTCCTGATTCAATTTGCTCCTTCTTTTGTTCAAATGAGGGGATTCCTTTGTTCGCAAGAAGGGTAGATTTTCCCTTTAACACTTCAGCTTGGCCAAAACAGGACTTTGCTATCCAATATGTGACTAACAATGAGACTTCAATGCTGATTCATTCCATTTTCAATCTTTTCACCTCTTCCCTCCATCCATTTCCCCTATGTTTCAGCTTAAGTGTAAATTCTGGGTTCGGTTGTGTGCCTCACCTTATTAAATCAAAGCAGACAGGCAGCATGTTTCTAAAACGACAGCATGGTCAGCTGACTGTAAGTAACTTACTTCTAAAGCACAACTACGTACAATCGACAAACGAGTCCATTAGAGTAAATTATAAATGTTTAGAGTCCTTTGAAATTAGATCTCCTCTGTTTTCATTTTGTTCCGAAATGTATTTTCTCCTCCCACCCTGTTTTTTTTCTTGTCCTCCTTCAATCTCTTCTTGTCTGTCCCCCATGGCTTATGTCTGTCTCTTCACGTGTTTGGCTTAAACCCCTTGCTGTCTTCTTTACTTCTTCTTTACTCTTTTTCTCTGTCCTAGTTCTCAGGGTCTCCAGGATAAAGCTTTGTCTAATTACCATGCTGGGGTTTAATTGGAACAGTGCACACAAACAGATTGACATGCTACCCCGTACATGCAAACACACTCTACTCTCTTTCCCCACAGATAGACACACATCAGATCCATTAAATGCATGCATTACACACCAAGCAACTTACATGCTCCAGTTATACAAATACACACAGCTTACTATGAGGTTAGAGCCTGTGGAATTTGTCCAGGTTGTATTGCAGCCACTGTGTATCTGGCTCTTCTGTGGAGCTAAGGCACGTTGGCTACAGTCACAGTTGATTTTGGCCTAGTTAGACCATGAGCTGCCTGTAGCAGCTCCCAGTATAGAGCTAGCTGTGTCATCTAAGAATGGGCAACAACAGTTGCACATCGAAGGCAAAATGTTGGCCGGACATGTAAATACAACAGTGGCTTTGGAATATTGTTAGAATCCTAGAAAAGCAGGTTCATTTATCTTTGGTATTTTAAAATGCTGAGTCTTTTTATTGGACTTTAATCTATTTCAAGGACTGCCACTTTGAGAACTGAACACTGTGTTGTTGATCATAAACTGAAGGTTAGAAAAATCTCGATAGGAGAGAAAGAAGTTTTGCTTTCTTATATCATTCTTTCATGACACGTAAAAGATGAAACAAGATGAGGAGAAAGGCAGGTGACTAGCATCTTTTCTTCACAGAAATGCCCTTTTGTTTAGGTGTCTTACTGTAGCTCTTATTTCTTTAAGATTCTATAACTGTATTTATAAATGTTATGTAAGTACAATTTTATTTTTTCCTGAAGTTAAAATATTGAGAACAGCTTTCTTCTTTTCTTTCTTATTCCCCTCTGCATTTTAGTCCTTCCCAGCCATACATGTGGCACACCCGGTCTTATTCCGAATGGAATTATTCATGGCTCAAGGTACAACATGGGGGACAAGATCCGATACAGCTGTGAGTCAGGTTTCGTGCTCGAAGGTCACAGTATCCTCACATGCATCGTATCACCTGGTAGTGGAGCACAGTGGGACTTCCCTTCACCGTTTTGTCGAGGTAGGCTTTCTTTTTTTATTATTTCTTCCTTCCTTCAGAAAATATCATGCTGTTGCTGATGTATGACGGAGAGAAAACAACTGACTTCTGCTATTCTGGTTAAGCAAACATTTTTAGTTGGCACTGATTCCTAGATGCATCTTTAGTTTTAAAATTAAAGTAAAACTTTGGGTGAGGTGTAATAATAAGGTAAATAGTGAAGGTCATAAGAAATGAAGGACCTTAATATGAGGTCATGAGCTGAAATATAAGAAGCACCAGTGTATTGATGTTCTTTAAAACTCATAAAGGTCTGACTCCAATTACTCTACAATACTCTGCAGCCCAAAATCCCCAAGCAAAGACCCCTAATAATAATCTTTTAGTCCACCAGAAGGAGCGTATATGTGAAAATTATCACTGTGAGAGAGAGGTAATATTAATATTATGTAGTTCAGGTTAAGACTGGTCATATATTTATAATGTTCATATTTTTTTCTATGTTATTTCTAAGAGAGAGATAGATGCTTTATACTTTAATAATGTACATATGACTCAGTTATACTCACATGTATATTTAAATTATAGGTCTGTCTGTCCTTCTATCTATATACGGTATATTTAAACATCCCTGTGAATATTTGCAGATATTTATTGGTCCTTTGACATGCAGTACAATAGAAAGAAAAGAGGAAAGAATAAAGAAGTTTTAACAATACTAAACATGGGTGAAAAACCTAAGATGTTTAAACTATACACATAGTTTAGTCTGTTATTATGGAGAACATACCACATAAAACCTAAATTTAACAATTCACACTTCAAAACAAGCTGACCTAAGAACATCCTACAAAATATTATGTAAAAAAAAATAAAAACTGTGTGGATACAGTATATTGCCCAGCTATCATTTTCTAGGCTTATTTCTATGTCCATGTTTTTCTTCTTTTATCAGCGGAAGGAGCATGTGGCGGTACGTTACGAGGCACAGCAGGTTATATTACCAGCCCCGGATACCCATCAGAGTATGACAACAACCTGGATTGCACATGGTCAATCCTGGCCGAACCTGGGGACACTATCGCTCTTGTTTTCACTGACTTCCTTTTAGAAGACAAATATGACTTTCTGGAAATCAGTGGGACAGAAGCACCGACCATATGGTAAGATTCTTGCAATAGACAAAATTGCATTACTCAGTGAACAAAAATGTGTTATTAAGGACACAGGTGTCTTAGGGGCAACCAACAAGACAAGCTAAGCACACTGCAAAATTTGTACACAGATAGGGAATAATATGTACACAAGAAGCAGTTACATTTAGAAAAGCTGGTTACTTGAATATCCCAATGTTTATAATCAAGAAATGAGAGACAATATAACCACTTTATTGGCTTTTTACAGTATGCATTAAAAAAAGCATAGTCCAAACTCATAGCAGGAAAAAGGCCTTTCCAATGGAGTTGAAACATTGACTCAGAATAATCATGATGAACTGATTATTGAAATGATAATCAACTAATTATTATTAGAGCTTTTTTTAATTTCAGAATATAAAAACTAAAATGTACAAATTGCTGGATGAACAACCCACTCAGAGGGTAATTAAGCCAAAACTACACAAAAGTAATGTAATTTTTGCATTTAAATTAATCTGATATGCTGTGAAAAAGCCATGACCAGGCCTAAGCTTGGTAAGACTGGATTCCAAGCTTTCCAAAGATGTCAAAGTTGTGGAACTCAAAAAAAAAAAAAAAAAAGAAATTAGAAAACATATGACCATTTGAATGTTGTCACAGAAGCTTTAGGAGAAAACTGGTTTCAAAGTTTCCTTATTATCACCTGGAAACCAGCTGTGTGGTAACAAATGCTGTTGTTAGAATAAATAGTTTTATTTAGTTTGCTGCAACACCTTATGCACCTTATGTTAAGATTATTTACAGCACTGCACGAAGATATTTGTGTGCACATTTAACAGACAAACATCTTTCATCAAAAAACGACAACATCACATTTATACACACAAGAAAAACAAAGCAAAAAACATATTTTAAAACTCTTAACATTTACATTCTTTAAAAATGCAAATAAATTAAGTTATTTTTAAGTATTTATACATTTTAATGTGTCTGCAGATTGCATCATGGTTACAACTTGTTTGGAAATTAAGATTTTGATCCCTTGGTATGCCTGTTTTTTTTTTTTTTGTGTTCTTTCTGTTTTTAGTACTGTAGAACAATGGAATAAAGTGTTTCATGGGCCATTTTAAAATACAAATAAATCCACCCACTATTCCGGGTTTCAGCAATTAATTACTAAGTAGGTAGGGACAATAAAACAGCAAATATAGGGTTGGTGTCATCAACTTCATCTTGCAGGTTTGGATCAAAGCAAAAGCAGTATTTTTTTTTTCTCAGAATTGGGTGGATTTATTGCTTTTCTTCGTTCAGGCTATGCTGACTTGTTCCTACTTTACATATGGAGCATCACAAATGTAATTAAATATGCTCTGTTCAGAACTCTTCAGGTGGCATTATTTTAACTCTACTTAGTTCACTCATCTGAGTATCAGAGGAAAATGATCATGGTTGTGATGTTTACCTGCTCCAAAAGAACTCAATTGACCTGGATCAGCATTGAATGGTAACAGTAGCACTCTAAACAGTCCTTCACATAAGGACACTTTGCAAGCTTTGTAAGAATTAGCACATCCAGCAGGGAAGATTGAAGCTACAAAAACAGCAGTGTCATACTTTAGATGAAAGGTGAAATCTGAGGTGATGGTAACCATTTTGGGGCCCTTACCACAAATACTGTGTGGTGCCCCTACCTGGAATTACTAATAATACAGTATATGCAGTACTCAAGTTGAGGGGGGATGGTCTCCCCCTTCTTAACAAAATTTTAAAAATCATCCCCCTTCTGAAATGACCATCCCCTGTGACATTTTATAACAGAATGTGTAAAATTTCTACTATATATTAACAGTAATAGGATTAATATTGCCCTTTCAACATTTAGCGGGCTGATGGCTTACAAGTAGCCTGAGCAAATAAGATAAAATCCAAGAAGTGCCCTGCCATGACTATGAAGCTGATCCCAGTGAGAAATTGGTCCCTAACTATGTAGGAGAAGTGATAGCCATGTATCTATATACTATAAGGTGTCTTGGTCAAGGTCTATGACCGGCGTATCTGACATGTAACAACCATACCATGCATATTGCTTTAGATTAATAGACCATATTAATTAGGCTATGTATGCTTCCAAAAAGTAAATAAATACATTCCACCATCCCCCTTCTTTGTTTTTTATAACTACACTACTGAGTATATGTGAAGTTAAATGGCAAATGGTAAAAAGCTTCTCTTTTTTTCTAACAGCAAATTTCTGATTTTTATTGTCTGTTGCTATATTATATAATATTTACCAAGAGGATGTGAATAGTAGCCTACTTTGCATATCTCTCCATCAGTGCTGTCGCTAAAGTATTAAAATGTTTTCCTTCCCTTTAAAATAAAGAAAAAAGACATTTCAGGAACATTAAAGCAGGAGAATAGAATACAGTATTGCACAATACTGAAATATTGTGTATCCATTCAGCTATTTAGATATGTTTCAGTAGCGTAATGTCATGATGATTTAACCTTTTGACCACCATATTGAGTACCTAACGGTCTGTGGGATTTCCCCCTGACCAGAATGAATAATTTACTACTTACGGCTGCGGCTAGATTTGAGGTGGATATGTCAGCTGTCTTAAATATCCTGTTCCCCTTCATAACATGGGACAAAATAACTCACCTGCAAATACCTGATGGCCTTTCCCTCTCATCATGGACAACAAGTCCTGTGGATGTAAAGAAATTTACCAAAGATACCTGAGGGGATTATTTCAGCTATTGAAAGAATCTTTTTTCGCTTCATAACATGGGAACAGATTAATTTACCAGCAAGTCCTTCACACTACTTATTTCCCTTATCATTGGCAATAACTCCTATTCCTGTGATTTTGCTCCCTATTTCCCTATCCAGCTATCAATTTAGTTCATAACACTAGTTATCTATATATTATATTCATCTATTAGTAACATTCTGCTTATAATGGTATTCATCTCTATACTTATTCAATAGAAACCCATGTCCTGTATTTATGGAACCATTATTTATCCTGCACTTGCTGCTATTGCACTTCTGGTTAGACCTAAACTGCATTTTGTGCCTTGTATCTGTACCTGTACCTGTGTAATGACAATAAAGTTGAATCTAATCTAATCTAATATATTTGCCAAAGTCATTTAGGGGAACTTCATTAAGAACATACAAAACAATCAAAGCAATATTTTAGTTGGCTTCAAACACATGCCTAATGAAACCATCTGATACATGCATCACATTGTATCTAGAAAGATAATTTGAAATAAATTAATTGAAGGAGTAAGACACAAACACATCAATCATCATTTTTAAATTCAAAATGTTAATATTTTTACTGAATCGTATCCATGTGAAGTTAGTGTAATTAAAATCGAAGAGTCTTCTATCAAAACCAACCTTGTATTTACTGTATATCTGATATCAACAGCCTACATAGATAATATAGAATCTCACAAAATACATTTCAATAAATCATTAAGTAATAACTGTAAACCCATTTTAGGTATTACTTTTTTCCCCTTTAGTAGTGAAACAACTTCTATCTATCAATCAATCTATCTATCTATCGATCTATCTATCGATCTATCTATCGATCTATCTATGAAAACTGTGAATGACTGGCTGCTATGTCTTGCTGCTAAATTAATCTATTCCCATGTTATCGAAAGAGGGTAGATTATTCAAGATAGCAGAAATACTTTTTGTTTCCCCCAACCCCCGGGAAATGTTTGGAAATAAAGCAAATACTATGTAATCTGAAGGAGTTTTTGCCTATCATGACAGGAGTAAACCCTGTGAAAGACTTGCTTTTAAAAATGGAGTGAGAAAGGGATATTTCAGACTTTTGAGATATGCAGTTTCCTCTACATAATTTTGGCAAATAATAAGGAAATGTGTCCAAATAAACAAAACTTATTGCCCATGATAAGTGGAATAAATGCCATGATGAACCTTGCTAGAATAACATGGACTTTTTGGAGGCATTCTTGGTTTTCACCATTTCCTGTTACAGGAAAAACATTTCTAAGAGAAAAAAAAGGACAACAGACTTGATAAAAGGATAGGGACAGGTTTCTTGGACCAAGTATTTTTAAAAACATGAATGCAGAATCATTACTTATAAGAGGTTTTCTATTTTTGTGCTCACTAATAGTGATTGGCATATCCAGCCTTTTAAATAATTACTTGCTTAAAAAGCTGCATGTTTATGTTTCATATCAGGCTTGAAAACTTGATTATAACTTTCTATGCTGGTTTTATTTTAAAGCTTAGGTTTTCCAAGATATTATTCAAGTGATGTAAAAATGCAGAAATTTAAATATTTTTTTTTAGTCAAGCAATTCATAATAAATCCTAACACTATTTTTTTTTTTTACTGGAATCTAAATCAACTGCATCAACACATGTTTTAAATTACGATTGTGTCCCTCCATGAAAACAGAATGCATATGGCAACAAGGAAATATACAATAAAAAACAGCAGTAAAATTAAACAAAAGGAAATTAAAATAAAATAACTGTGCATTAAGCACTGGCACTAACAGAGCAGCACACTTACACTGTATTCTCTTGATACAATTGTGTTTTTGCGTGTGCATGTTTGATGTGTGTCATGCCTTAAGTGGACCTCTGAAAGGGTGAGCTGTTGATAGTTTGAGCAGAGTTTGACAGATCATAAACACTCAGCTACTCCAACACAAAGCCTAGCTCTGACAGTGTAATATTAAGGGTCTCCTGTCAACCCACCCACTGCAATCCAGGGAGAAGATGTGACCTTTAACAATTAGACTACAATCAACACTGATTTACCTTTGCATTTATCTCATTCAGTCAAAAGGATTAAAACCCTATAATCAATTTATTGCTCCTATTTTAGAAGTCATTACTGTGCTGTGTATAACTTTGCATTAAAGAAAAAAATTATTTAATCCATAGGTGTATATAAATAATAGGATATGTTAATTTAAAATTACAGCAACATCACCCACTGAGAAGTTTGTGGGCA